GGCGGTGGTTTGGGTCGCCCCCCGCCAGTCACCGCTCCGGAGCTGTCTCAGTTCTCTGCCCCAGAGAGAGCGAACGTGCTGAAGTCTCGGTGGCTTCTTGTTGGTGAGGTGTTCGGACACAAAAGGTCTGGGGGAGGTGAGGAGTTTCTTGCTGTTTTTCTTTTTGGGACAAAGAGTAACAAGCTGCACTAATCATCTGGAGGTGAGTTGAAAGGAAGAGCTGAGGGTTGCTGGTTTTAATGGTGCGCTCTGGTCTGACCTGTGCGGGGTCGATTTCCCACTGGAGTCTGGTCTGTACTTACTGTGCTTTCAGCTGATAAAAGCCAGGGTGGGTCAGCAAGCCGTGCCTAAACGGCAGTGAAATTGAGATAATGGTACGGGCAAAGCCAGGATTTGAAAAGGTGATTGTTTCCCAAAACCTGCTCTCCAAGAGAAAACGCACTTCAGACTCCACGGTCCCATAACCAGTGTGCACCAGTATGATGCAGAGTTGGAATGGAGGGCCCAGAACGGCACTGGGGTGTTTTTCGTGTCTTTTGGTAGCATGATGTAGCTGTGCAAGAAGATAACTCTCAACTAACACACAAATAAATGCTTTTCTGTGGGCTGACAGGGCTCCCAGCCTCCCCACTGAAATGCAGCAGCTTGTCGGGGTGCCCCGGGTCGGACATCAGGACCTGTGGGCGTGTGGCTGTCGGACCTGCACATTCCCAAAATGTTAACTTTCTTTCCCTCAATCTGGAGCTGACGCAGTCAAGATCCACTCTGGGTTTGGGGTTTGTGTGTCTTTTGGAGGGGATGGGGGTTGTGCTCCTTGGATTTGTGTTTTCAGAGGAAGCCCAGTAGGGAAGTGTCAGTTTCACAAGTAGGAAACAAAGTAGAAGTAATGAATTCACATGCAAGAGTCTCATGTCCAGTGATATCTAAATCCTTTCCCTCTTTTTCGATCTTCAGAGGATCACCTCCAACCACGAGTACAAGCAGCTCCAGCCTGACCAACGATGTGACAAAGCAGCCGGTCAGTCGGGACATCGCATCCGTGAGACCCGCCAATGTCGGCAGCATGGGGGTCCAGTACACTCCCCACTCCCACCAGTTCCCCAGGACGAGAAAAATGTTTGACAAAGGGCCAGAACAGGTAACGAGACTTCCCTTTCAGATCTGACTGCTTCCCTGCTCCGCTGGGTTCTTTACACAGTCTGTTCTGTGTATTTCATTTCTGTGTGTCTCTCGTCTGCTTCCAGCTGCCGTTCACTCCAGGTTGGCTTCCTCTGAGCTGTAGCATAAAAATGGATTATTTTTTTTCTTCACAATAATTTTTTTTATAGCTTTTGATAGGCCATTATTCACCTCTGCTACTACTAAGAAGTATTTAATGGGAGGTGATTGATTGTTCTTTCATAAACACCTGTCTGCCTGGGTGATAGCGCAGAGTCAGATCTGGGACACTCGGGTGCTTTTCCTCCAACCTCAGCAAAGCAGGGACCAAAGTTTCACCCCCACCCGTTCCCCTCCACGCTTGACCCGGGAGGAGGTGAGCCCGGACAGCGGCTGGGAAGCCCAGAGCTCGTTACACGTCGCCCATCTGGGAGAGAGCCGATGGGTGGAGAGCTGGGAGGGGCTCGGGGAGGAGTGGGGTGACTCCTCGGTTCGGCATGCACGCAGGCCAGGGTTTGCATCCATTTGAGCATTCTGAAGACAGTCCTGATGCTGGGCATTGTTCCATTTGCAGCAGCATGAAGGACTGATGTGGTGCCAAGTGGAGCAACCCCTCAGCTTTCAGTGTGCACACAGGGTTCTGCCACCTTCCGGTGGCTCCAATGTCGATGAGTCACTTTGCATTCATAGGGTTGAGGCCAAGCGCACTTGGACTTGTGGCCACCACTTGAAGGCAGAGGCTAGACTCGTCAGTGCTCAGTGTTCGTCTGGCAGCAGCATCTCTGCCTCTCCGCTAGCTCAGGGTGCTCCCAGGATTTTCCTGGTGCTGGCTCTGTGGATGGGAGGAGGCTGGAGAGGCACCCGCGGGCTCTGTCGCCTGTACTGATGCCCACAGTGTGGTGGGGAGGACGCTGACCCTCCTTTTCTCCCCCCGGGCACTGTGAGAGGGAAGGACTCTCCCATCGGAGCGGTGGGGTGTGTGCGTCGCGGTCCTTGGGACGAGCGGCCAGCGCAGCATCCGCAGCATCCCGAGCAGGAGCCGCTCTGAACGTCAGTCGGCATTGCTGCCCGTCTTTAATGAACAATCTCTCAGAAGCAACAGGAGGTGGAGAGTGAATTTTTCTGTGTGATTAGACAAGAAAAAAACGTTGAAGCCTTTGCAGGAGCACCTTCTCTTCTCATGGGGATGGCAGCACCAGCCTGGGTCATAGTTCTGAAAAGCCGGATGAAAGCTGCGGAGTGGAGCAGTTTTCCCATTTTCTTTTTGGGTGTTTTGTGCTTCGTAGCAGATAACACATCTGTGCCCTTGACCTGAGGCTGTGTCTGGCTGTGCTTCATCCTGAATCATCTTCTCTGCTCCACTGTTCCTCGAGCCAGGTGCTGGGGAGACCATGAGAAACTCATCCTGGGAGTGCATTGTGATGCTGGGCTGATGCTTCAGCCCTGCCTCCCCCGGCAGCCTGGCTCTGTCCCGTGCTGTGCCGATGGGGTGTCTGCACATTTCCCAAGAGTTAATGCAGTGGCGGTGATCGTAGGGCTAGATGTAAAAACCTCTCGTATCCGTGGCAGTGTGGTTGAGCTTTTCTCTGCCGGGTGGTGTGTGGGCTCTGGGTGTGACCGTGCGTGGGGACGCGGGCTAACGTCCTGCTCTCTCTCTGCACAGACGACCGACGATGCCGATGACGCCGTCGGACACAAAAGCTTCATTTCGGCCACGGTGCAGACGGGGTTTTGCGACTGGAGCGCGAAGTATTTTGCTCAGCCGGTCATGAAGGTAAGAACTCTGTTATCTCTGCGTGTTTGAGTCACGGCGCCGCAGGTCCCGAGAGCGCCGCTGTCCCGAGCGCAGGCTGGCGCTTCTCGGTGCCGCTGCGGAGGGGCAGAATGGGCTTCCCTGCGTCAACGCTGCTCGGGAGCTGTGGGACCACTGTGCTTGTGAAGGGAGAGGGGTGAGATCGTCAGAGGGAGCAGGGAGCGAGTGGCAGGTGGGACAGTGCTGGGGAAAGCGCCCGAGCGAGAGCCCCGCGCCGTGTGGGGCACGTTCGGGAAAACGAGGAGATGGGGAGAGGTTCTGGAGCTGGCCCAAAGCCACCAGTTCTGCCCAGTCGCAGGTTGCATTGTGGAGTTGTTTCGTTGTAAATGTTGTGCTTGTCTGTGTATTCAAAATTGTATTATAGTAAACATTGATTTTTTTTTTAGTATTAAAAAAAGGAGTAAGGAAGGCTCTGTATTCCAGAAAGAGCTTTGAGAGGCTGGAGAAGGAGAGGAGCTGTTTTCTTTCTGATATTCCAGCTGAATTTTCTGGCTGTGATGGTGCTCAAACAGCAGAGAAGTGCTGGAGCCTGCCGCCCCGGGTGAAGAGCACGTCGTCGCGCTGGCAGCAGGACGGAGCCTTTGGGCTCTGTCCCGGTGTGACCAGAGCTGGGCTCTGCGCAGGGGCACCCTCTGCAAACGCCTTAAACAGGAGAAAGCGACGGGGACCGGACATCCACCTGGCTGCCTGGGGGAAACTTTGGAAGCACTGTTGTTGTTTCTTAAAGTTTAAAAAAAAAAAAAAAGGTCCGTTATGGCAAAGAATGAGGGTGGCAGTGACAAATCTCCAGGGAGATGTCCTCAGGAGTGAGCGCGTCCTGGTGAGCGGGGAGGCTTTGTGTGGAGTGAGATACGCTGAAGCCTTGTTCTAGGAAAAAGCTGAAACAGAGCTCGAAAGAGATGGGCAAAGATCATCAATGAGTGGAAAGAGAAACCGTTCAATTCCCAGAATCTTTCAGCCAAAGATCAGGTTTTGGTTTTAAGTATGAAATGCAAACAAGCAGTAAGTCAGCCTGCAGGCACCCCGAGAGTCAAGCAGCACGAACTAACAGAACTTTCAGCGTAATTTCTTGGAGAGATTGCAATTTCTGTGAATAATAATCACGCCCGGTCTGTATTAATGCCATTACCTGAGCAACGCCGCAGCGGGTGTTCATGTGCAAGCACTGGCAAGGAGGACACGGGCCATTTTCTGCACTGTCTCATCCAGGAGCTGCCGCCGAGCCATCCGTCGCCGCTCTCCAGGCTCGTTAGGGTGGGTGGTGATGAGGTGAGGTCGGTGCCCCCGGTTTAAGGATATCAGAACCCTCGTTACCTGGCAGCCAGTTTATTTGATTTCTTTTGAGAATCACCAGGAGGAAAGACTCGATGGTGCAGCGGTTCCCTGACACTTCCTCAGCTGCTGGGGAAATTAACTGTCTTCTGGTATCATTAATTAGCAGAATAATTCATTAGGACGTGCGTCTGGCCCGTGGGGCTTGGTCGGACTTTAAACCTGGGTCTTCTCTCATCAAGATGAGTTTCGGTGTCTTGGTGC